GGTGTACCTAATAAAGTGGCCGGTGAGTGTATATATATATAGTAATAAGCCTGAGTGGTCTGTTGACTGACCTTGTATTTGTTCAAATAATTGTTATGGGCAGGTTACAATATAAAAATGTTTGTTATAATCATGTCTTGTGATTATTTGACAGGAGTTTTACTTTTAAACTGTAAGTGTATTTAATTTAGTTATGTTAGTTATGATAGATGATGTAAATACAATAAAATTAAACCAAGGTTTAAAATAATTATCATTTTGATCCATACATTGGTAATGTCTGACTGGACCTCGTGTCTCTTTATGTTTAATAAATTGGACCCCGAGGTCAGAAAGGTTAAGAACCCCTGGTTTAAAGGCAGAAAATAAAGGATTTTCCTGAAAAATCACTGAAATTCTTTGTGTTTTCAGGAGTTAAACTGGTGATAAGCATTTCTTAAAGTTGCTTCACTTGTTGACACATCTAGTGTTTTTCTTGACTGCACTCGTCAGCGTGGAAACCTGAACACCCGTCTGAAAAAACTGGATGAAAAGCAGGACTTTGCTGCCATCATCCTGGCTGCTGCAGGCCTGAAACGCATGGGCTGGGAGAACCGAATCAGCATGGTATGAGCACGGTTCTGTAGAGTCCACTGAGCGGTGCTGGCAGCGTTTCACCCTCTAACACTGTCATTGTGCCTGACAGATCCTGGAGCCTGAAGACTGTATGTATGCTGTCGGACAGGTCAGTGGGGAAAAGGATTCAGTCAGTGGGGCTGGGCAGAATCGTATCATGTGCAGTTAATCCTCAGAAAAACTTGGATTATTTTTTGCCACTTGATGATTAATTGGATTAATGCCAGTGGACATGTCCCCGGTCTGTCCACTTCAAATATGAAGAACATTAAAAGAAAAAAAAAGTAATTTATTTATCATAACTCCAGTTTTACTTGGTCAATCAGCACAATCTAAAAATATATGTAAAGCCTGAAATCTGTACTTTTACACAATCTGAAACAGATTTTTACACAAAGCAAATCTTTCCCACTAGAGTGGTTTAAACTGGTCATGTGACTAGGACCTGCAGGTGTCCAGGGGATTAATCATCATATTAATCGTTATCGGCTAAATACCTCAAATAATCCTGATTCATTTTTTTGCCAACATATCCCAACCCAGAGGTCTGTAACCTTTACAATCAAAAGGTCCATTCTTGTTCCTTGTCTCACTGATAAAATGTGTCCAGAGCTGCAAAACTGTGACTATCAACTGCTGGTCCGTGGGCCTTTTCAAAGTCTTTTCAGGAACCTTTACGGCCAGTGGAGGTGACATTAAAAAAGTAAAAGATATATTGTGAACTTTATTGGTTATTATTATTTTTACACATCAGTATAAACGAAAAGACTGTGTTCATGTAAACAAGAAAAATACTGTGTGCAGTTAATACCAAATTGTATAAAAACTAGTAAAACTGAATTATTCAGGCAATTTTTCTTTCAACACTGAAAAACTGTCCACCTAACCAAGTTTTAGAATCTTATATCAGCCAAAAAGTCTTTTTGATCTTGTTTTCAGACTGATTTACTAAACAAGAACTGATTGTGTAAGAATAATCATCTTGTTTTCAGAATGTGTAAGATTATTTGTCTTGTTAGTCTGAAAATTTGACTCTAATTAAGTCAAACATTTCTGCCAGTGGAGTAAGAACATTTTACTTGGTAAGATTCTTGAAATAAGAAAAAATTGAGTCAAATCAAGTATTTCAAGAATCTTACCAAGTAAAATGTTCTTACTCCACTGGCAGAAATGTTTGACTTAATTAGAGTCAAATTTTCAGACTAACAAGACAAATAATCTTACACATTCTGAAAACAAGATGATTATTCTTACACAATCAGTTCTTKTTTAGTAAATCAGTCTGAAAACAAGATCAAAAAGRCTTTTTGGCTGATATAAGGTTTTAAAACTTGCTAAGATGGACAGTTTTTGCAGTGAAATTCAAATTATTTAAAGGTAATTCTGATGGATTTGAGAGAAAGATCATAGAAAGAAGCTTAATTATTTAAGTACACAACAGGCTAGCATGAGCTAACATGTTTTACTTTTTGTATTAGTAGTATTGATCACATATTTACATACAAATTGATTTCAGTTGTGAGTATAAAAAACAAAAACTTATTCTGTTCTGTTTGGTCACATTTTCAAAGAGCCACATGTGGCCCCAGAGCCGCAGGTTGCAGACCCTTGGCCCAACCCTATTAGTCAACGACCAATTGTTCAAGTTGTCCCAATTAAAAAGATGAGAGAGTTCTGTGACTGACAACATAGTTAGACCTCATCTATGAGAGACAAAATGAGAAAACATATTTAGAAAATCACATTGTCTGATTTATTTTAAAAAAATATTTTATTTTGAAAACCAACAAAAAACCAGAGATGTGTAAAAAAGAAAAACTTACCTAAAGCCTGGAACCTAAAAACAAGAAACACTTACCTGATCCTAGAAATTTAAAAACGTCAAAGAAAATACTTTTCTGAGTCTAAAAACTGGAAACCTGAAAGAAAACTGAGACAAAAGAAAAAAAACAAGTGAAAACCAGAATAATAACCCCTAATTTACACTGCATGCATCTCCGCTGCGCTGCGGTGCGCAGGTCGCAGGTGTTCGTTTGTGTCTCAATTTATACAACGTCCGCTCCACTCCGGTCCGACAGTGTGCAGGAAGGAGATTGTGCAATGAATTCAGTGATAACAGCAAAAAATAATTAATTCTGTGAAAGACAAACTCCAAACAGCTGAAAACATAGATATAAAAACTTTTGGTATCTATGTTGAAACTGTCTCGCTGTCGTCTTTCTGAAACTTCTGATTTCAAAATAAAATCCACGTGTATCGTGTGTGTACACATATGCTTCATGCTACATGTTTCTATCTGCTTCCCAAACAGAACCATACATTCTGACTGCATTTGTGTAAAAATATATCCGTATATTTATTAATATAGCTGCAATTTCCACATTATTCTGACAAATTATCCAGCCTAACAGTGTCTTATTTTGAAAATACGGATGTTGTGCTCGTTTCTTTTCCTGTTGGCGATGTAATCTTTAAAAATTGACTCCGGCGCAGCTCCGGAGTCCGGCAAAAATAGGATCTGTTCTAATTTTGGCGGATCGCTGTCCACTCACCGCAGCCAGTGTAAACACTGTCACTGGTTATAATGGTTATAATGGGTGTGTGTTTGCTGCGGAGGTCGGAGTGGAGCGGAGCCGGAACACATGTAGTGTAAATTGAACATAATTCTTCACATGTACAGTGCTGACCCGTGCACCTCTGCTCACCGGCTCATACACCAACACAGACCCTTTAGAGTTACAGATGAACCTGATCCACATGTCTTTGTTCTGAGGGAGGAAACTTGTCTTCCTGCAGTCATATTTTCATCACGTCTGTCTCAGACAGGAGTTAAAAGTCATGTTGGTGTGTTTTCTCAGGGGGCTTTAGCTGTGGAGGTCCGAGCCAAAGATGCAGACATACTGGAGATGGTGTCCGTCCTCCATGACCCTGATACTGTGCTGCGCTGCATCGCTGAGAGAGCCTTCCTCAGACAGCTGGTACACACACACACACACACACACACACACACACACACACACACACACTGTAACCAACATTGATTGAGTGTAACTGTTTGTTTGTAGGAGGGGGGCTGCAGTGTCCCGGTGGCTGTGCACACCCAGGTGAAAGACTCACAGGTAACGATGTTCTCTGCCAGTGTTGTATAAAGTACCTCAAAGTGATACTTGAGTAAAAGTACAAGTATCTTATCATAAAAATACTTGGGTAAAAGTTAAAGTCTTCTCTAAAAATATTACTTGGGTAAAAGTCTTAAAGTATCTGATATTTTTGTACTTAAGTATCCAAAGTAAATTTC